GTCATTACCTCACCTTACTATTGTGCAAATACTGAATTAAGTAATATAATTATTGGACTGCCTCCCCTTAACAATTGGGATCCATCCTCGATAACACTCATGATAATGCACATCAAAAATCAGCAATCTTACAAAACCTATCCCCACATCTAAGCTCCACTTGCTCCACCAATTGGAGTAAGTGAGTTAAATATGAGCTACCAAACAGATGAAAATGCCCCAAAACACAACATCAATACATATAAAACTGTGCTCCCCATTTGTCTAAAAAGATCCCGAGCACATGCTGCGAGGGAAAGTGAGAAATAGATGCAGAAGTGCAGACTGACAGATCAACATATGGAGGATTATTCACAGCTAAACTAAGCCCCAGGGGAATGAAGGAGCTCTGAGCAGTTGACTGACAGTTGACTGACAGACACACACACACACACAGCTTGGCTGACCTACAGAGACATAAGGGTGGCAGGCTTGAGGAATCCGTGGATATAAAAAGTTTGTGTGGCTTATGCAGCATAAGTGTTGTTCAAAGCTTTGATGAAGAAATTGCATAAAATCTCCAGATAAATATTGGACTTTGAGACCCACTTTGCACATGTTTATTGACAACAACTAATGCTGTAAAAAGAAAACAACATAGCCCCCAGAAGCTAATAGCTCGAGCTTACTTCCAGATTGGGATAGAACACACTTTTAAAGAACAAAAAGCAAAGGCTAATCTGAGTATACAAGATGATTAACATACTGGGATACGCTGGTACATGCCATAGGCCTGTTTGACCACTCACATAAACAAACACACATACCGTGATGTCATTCAACCCTCCTTTGAATGCTGTTCAAAAACAAACAATGTATAACCTGTCCTTAGTTTCTTTAATGTCAGCGTTTGCAGCTTCACTCTGTTTTATCTCATTGTGAATGCAATATCTATGAGTTGTGGGCTTTAGATCAGACAAAACAAGGCATTTGAAGGGCTCACCCGCAGCTCTGGGGAATTGTGACAGGATTCCTTTTGACATTTTATAGGCCAAGCGATAAGTCAAATAAATTGTTTTCAGATTAAACCACTATCAACTAATTGCTGCCCTTTATCCAGTTCTTGCACATTCAAGTCCCAGATCCTTCTCACTACAGTCATTTGTGTGAGCTAGGACATTTTTTATATAAATGATTTGAACGGCAACAGGTGGAGATATTCACATGATAAACAGCTGTTTAATCATGGGTGGTTGGGTCACTTCACTGGCATAGGTTTAAATGGAAAGTGGTCGAACAGATGTGTGGTGGACGGATGAATGCACAGATTGGCATTCTGTTTATCCATCTCCCTACTTTCAACTTGTAAGCACAGGAATTTATTTAAGGTCTGACTGAAAAAAAGTTAAGTGTATAAAAGGCTTTATTCGTTAAGGGCAACATCACTGATCTCTACTGCATTTTAATCCAGAAAAATAGCAAGACCCATTCATGCTTTCTGCATTATGAGGTCTGGAAGAGGATTTGATTGCACTTGATGGTGAAGCTGTCTGCTGTTACTGCTTTAACCCATAAGCAGCAATGTCCATACTAACATACAGTATATATGTTATTTGAGCAAGGTACAGATGGATCGTGCATAGCATTTCTGTCTCTACTTGTGAAGAGGAAGAATCAAAACTCTGTTAAATGTGCTACTGACTGCTTCCTCAAGCATGAGTCACTATTCTCAAAAACTTCCCATTGTACCACTTCACTCCTACGAGAATGTGCAGGGCCAGACACACACAGCCACATTTTACAAACACACAGAAGGCTCAAACTGCAGTTAAATCTTAGGAAACAGGAGCAGGTTGCAAGAGAATCATTTGAATTCAGTAATGTGCAAACCTGTGGCAGAGGAGATTGTCACAACTGTCATTTCTTTGGAAATGTCTTGCGTAAAGCACACCGCTGGAGGGTACAAGTTTTAGCATGCACACAGCACACAGTGTCACATGTGCAGCAGCAAGCCCCTGCATGCAAGGCCTAGAGTTGAGCGTGTGCAACTACAGGCAGCAGGCCAGTGATGGAGCACATGTAGTTCCTTCTCATGCAACGCCAAAAGGCAAACAAAGATTCTGCACCTGTCTTCATTGCAAGGGGCAGGGCAAGATTATTATAAACTGTTCATGGCTGGTATTAATGACTTCATGCCCTATATGTGTCAATCAATTTAGTTTTTGTAGAACTTTTGTATTGATATTTCCAGGAAGAAAACACATGCTTTATTTTGAAGTGAGAAGAGGGGAACTGATGGTGCAAGGAACACCTTTTTAGAAGAAGTGGAGAAAGCCCACATTTAATTAACTAGAAGAACAAAGACACTGCACTCCAGCAGAGCTTCATTAAAATCAGCCTGCAGCGTCCTCACCTCTTTGTAGGACGACATGATCCTCTCGATGGCGTCGGCCCCTGAGGCCAAGAGGTTACGGGCGGTGGTGAAGGCCTCTGTCCTCTCGCTCACCATCGTGTGTGTCCGTCCGTCTGCCGTTTCTAAAAAAGGACAAAAGACAAGGTGTGAGAAACACTAGAAATATCTTAACATAAGCAACAAAAGAGATCAACTTCCCATTTGCCCTCTCTGGATTCTCTCACATTTGCATGCCATGGAGATTTGTTATTTAAATCAGCGGTGACACCACAACACAGCAGTAGTGCTCGTCGGCGAACAAAGGGACTCAGTTGTAGCTCTATTTTGACTCAGATGAAACGTCATCGGGGAGGTGTGGGAGGCTGCTTCTGTTCTCACACATGCTAATCAGCCCTCTACTTGAGGAGGAAGCAGTAGCTGTTGGTTTGGAGGTGCGAATGGAAAATGTGTTTCCACCAAAGAGTAAAATAGTGGCACTACAAACTAGGTACTGGACAAACATTTATATTCCCTCGGTTTGGTTTGGGGCACATTAGGGCATCCTTACTGTTATCAGCGAAGCCGGTGGCCGTGATGATCGGCACGGCAACCATGACGAGCCCACAGGCGCTCCACACATACTTCATGAGGAACTGCTCGATCATGATGTACCACAGACGCTTGGACAGGATCAGGTTCATCTGGTCCGCCAGAGCTCGGTAGCACTTCTGCAGCTGACGCATCTCCACCTGCAGAGGTCAAACTCTCACAATATTTAATCACTCCCTGCATTTCTGTGATGAAATAATACTGGGGGCGGGACCTTTTAGTTTATCTTTGTCTGAACCTGTATTGATTGAGGTCCACCAGGTGTAAATATAATAATAGGATGGAGTTATGAACTTTGTTACTTGATGTTGGCTATCAAGATAATCTCTTATCTTATGTAGGTGGACAATACTTGTAAAAGGGCCAAAGATATGACCGAGGGTAATTAAAAGAAGGTTGAAGTTAATATGTGTTTGATAACGGTGTGTAGACTAACTATGATGGACATTTAGACCATATGGAATACTAACCCATGGTCTATTAATGATCTATTAATGGAGCATATGGATGTACTATTGTAGATGTGTTTCTAGTCTCAAAATGTAATAACCACCAATATTTAGTTTGTAATAATGTGCAAGCCTGCCAAAACAAATGCAACTGCAGATCCAGCCCTGCATACCTTGTGTCCCCTGTAGAAAGCTATCTCCTCCGCATTAGCAATGATCCTGGAGTGCACATAGCGCAGGTAGCCCTTCCTGTGAGCCTCCTCGGCCACCAGCTTGCCAAATTTGGGCGAGCATGCCCGGAGCACCTTAGCCGTGACAAAGACCACCAGGCCGGCCAGCAGGGTGGGCCCACTGGCGTTGGCCCCTCTGGATCTGGCGGTCTGGATCAGGGTGTAGGAGGTCAGCACCACGTCCAGAATTGGCTTGGTGAGGTTAGAATAGAGGTGAGCCACGGATTGGGAAAACATCATGACGTCCTCAGTGAGAGACTGGTCCGGGTTGGCGAGCCTCCCGTCCATGTTGCTGACTCTGTAGTAGGTCTGATCGGTGAAGTAGGTCCGGTATGCATGGTTCACCAGCCGGGTGCGGAAGGCCAGAGCCAGCTTGCACTCCAGGAACCGGATAACGCTGTTGACGAACGTGGCCGGGATTGCAATGAGGAGCCATTTCATCAGCTGGAAGATGAAGCTCTTAGGTTCCTTCTCCACTATCGTTTTAACTATCTTCCCGTCCAAGGTAGCCACGTAAATAGACAAAAACGTCCTGGATATCAGCGCCACCGAGTGCAAGGAGAGCAACGCGAGCTCTTTGGACACAAGCTTGGGGAAGAGGATTTGACCAAGTTCGAGGATCTGCCTGAAAAATTCCGCATTTACTCCAGGGGATGAATTCTTCTGCCCCGCAGTACATATCTGTGTTTTTCCCACACATGTAGCACCGTTTTCCGCCTTTGATCCCCGGGGATTATTCCTGTTTTCTTTGTTTTTTCTGAGCTGCCTGCAGATGATGGGGTACAGTGTTTTGACACCGTAAGCAGCAGCTGCAAGAAACACGGCTCTCTTCGCCGCAGCCGTACGGTCCCACTTTATTTTGGACGCCGCATCGAGGATGTTGGACATTTTTCTAACGTTAGTCGTCTCTTCGTACAATCCTTGCAACACCCATCCCCCAAACCCGACTCACCGCGTCGACATGAATAGAGAGACGGTCTTCTTGTGGTTGGATTGATGTAAAGCGAGCCCGACTCATGTACCGCTACATCCTGCTCTTGTTCTACCAGTGGGAAGAAAGCAGGACCAACTGCAATGTACTTCCGGTGTACCGTTTTCAAAATAAAAGCTGAAGGTCAACTTCCTCTGCAGTACAATGTTATACAACTCTGATTCAACTGCGTGGCTTCTAACATGAATTTGCTTAACTTCCTGAATAACTGTAGTTTTTCTCAGTGACTTGACGCTCCTTATTTCCGCCCTACGCGTTTGCAGTTCCTTTATTATTGGTCATGCCCCCAGCGGCAGAAAACGCAACTTGCGTCACTGGACTGAACAAAAAGTAGTACAGTCTGACTCTGTACTGTTTCTACTGCATGGCGGCGGTATCCTTGTTTGATGGTAAACAATGTCATGGGACAGGCATTATGTAACGTTATTCAGAAAAATATAACGTTGTACGCAAAATACACCGCTTACAAATGTAACAAAAGTGGGCAAGGAATTATTACACCTTTTCATAAGGATGTTTTAAGTGGCGCGTGACAGTATAGTTTTTGTTCCTCGTGCAAATCTACCTACTTAATTAGTCGAACGTTACATATCTACCTAGCAACAAACATTTAGCTAGCTAACGTAGCTTTACCAATGTGAACTTTTACACTGGTATTAGTATAGTGTTTATTGTTTCACTGTTCGTTTTTTGATAGATACAGCTGTTCAAAATGAATTGGGTCGGGGGCTCAAGGTAAGAGAGGGGGAAATGTTCAGTCTAATACCATTAATGTTCGTGCTAATGTAAACGTTAGTTAGGTAACGCTAACGTTGTAACGATTCTTATTACAGGAACAGGGTTGTTGTGAAGAATGATGCAAAAAAGCAGAGGGTGAGACAGCCAGTAGTGGAAAGTAACTAAGGACATTTACTCAAGTATTGTACTGAAGTGCTTTTTTAAAGCATATTTGTACTTACTTTAAGTAGTTTAATTTAATTCCACTTTATACTTCTACTCCTTTACATTCCAAAGGCAAATGTTGTAGTTTTAACTCCACTACATTTATTTTATTTTATTAGTTTATTTGTATATAACAACACTTGATAGATATGGTATAATGCATATTATATACAACTGTACTACTATTCTCTACAGTAGTTTACATATCTACATTTTGTCCACATAAACAATAATAAAATGCTCTTACAAGTAAACACAGGATAATAATATAACACTGTGAAACGATCTATTCTGCATAACAAGTACTTTTGATACTCAAAATACATTTAGCTGATAATACTCCTGTACTTTATGTAATTCTGAAATTAGCAATTGTGCAGAATGAGTAATTTTAACTTTTGTACTCAAAGTACATTTTGATGCTAATACTTGTGTACTTTTACATATATGACATTTTGAAATCAGGATTTGACTTGTAGTGGAGTATTTTAAGATCATAGTATTTGTACTTTTACTTAAGTAAAGGTTCTGAGTACTTCTTCCAACACTGGAGACAGCTAAATACAAATTCCATGACTACACTAGACAACAGTTTTAAACTTTGTCTTAGTCTACAGTAATGTTCTTGGTTTGCTCTTTTACTCAGGAGTTTTTTGAAAAGAGGAAAATGCAACAGAAGTTGAAAAACTTGGGAATGGCTCTACCTGCATCTCCAAAAGGCACTAGTGCTGGGAGCATGGACCTGGTGACATTATTTATCGTCAACCAGATTGCTTCAAAGAAAGAAATTACAGGTGAGAAGTAGCAACTATGTAAGTAAATAATTACAGTTACCAAAACTCAAACTAGGCAAAAAGTGAGAAAATATAACACAAGTTCCAGAGAAAATAATGAAGTGTAACCCCATCCTCTCCTATAGTGTTTATGTCAAACCTATTTAATGTCCGAAAACTACCAGACATTGTAACAAACTGTATTAGCAAAGGGTTAATTGAGAAATGCAGTATATGTTTTTCCAAAATTATTAAACACCAAATAACCCTTCTGCAAATATGTGGCTTATATATGTATATACAGAACATATGACTAAAGTTATATCTATCTACCAATGCCTATGTTCATCAGTCCGTATGGAAAAGGATGTAAGTAGATAATGTGTTTTTCAGATCCTCCAAAAGTGGCGGTTCTTGGCAGCTATAAAGGAGGATCCAAGCACAAGAGAAATGAGCTGCTGGTTCTCCCAATGAGCCCGGGCTCTCCTTCACAGCTGAGTCTTGTCGAGGGCCAACCTGAGTACAGGTAGACCTGGTTACATTTCATTTTGTTCGCATCACCCAGATCAATATAGAATAAAAGGTCCAAACAGCACATTTTACAAGTTATAGAAACTGTCCCAGTCCAACTTCATATGGCATATGAATTAAAAGTCCAATCTGTGGTTTTTGTCTGTATACAGTCAGTTGTTATCAACATTCATTGTTTATATTCTGTGTCAATGTCTAGTGTTCAAGGAACGAGGAAAAGAAAGTATGTTATTCCACAAGGCTTCAAGTGTCGGCAGGTTAGTCACTCTCCAGCTATTCATGTTGCAATTTCTTAGCACTAGAAAAGGTAATGTCATTGCACTGTTGCCAAACAGCATAAACCGCACTGTGTTGACTTTGCTTGGTTTGGTTTTCTCCACAGTCCAAAAACATGCAGGTGGGGTTAAATGTAATCATAGTTGGACCCTCTGGCGTAAAACGTTATTTACTGCTCTGTCCCCAGTTGTCACCAGTGCTGGAGTCAGCTTACTCAGACAACAGTGCATCTGACTATCTTCCACCCATCACCAACCCCCTCAGCCCCTTCTCCACCTCCTCAGCTTCTTCAGGCCAAGGTGGTGTTGCAGTTTATTTATAAAACAATATTTTAATGAAATAAATGACACACTATTAACTGTGCATATCAGTCAACTTAGGTCTTATCAAACTGTCTCCTCAGGTTTATTCCCCCTGCAGATGAACCTCCAGCAGAGAAGACAGACGCAGCTTCCCCACTGCTCCCCCCCACCCTGGGACACCTCAGGGCTGAAGCAGACTAAGGTAAGGAAAAGAGAATATTCTTTAAAAAAATATATATATCTCACATTAAATGTCATCACAATAGGTCATGGTTACAGTTGCTTTTATTACATAGACATGTGATCCTTTAACTCCACATGGAGCTTAATAGGCTTTGCATTGACTGCCTGACAGTGAACAAAATGCAACAAACTATACTACTTAATTAAATAATGCTGGATCTACTTCTCCAAGTGTCAGCAGTAGTATCTTAGACACAGCTTTGTCTACGAGCTAGCCTCACTTTTGTGAAGGTTTGCATGACAGTGCCTTCCTGACAGGATGCTACTTAATATACAATTTATTTTGCTAGTTTCAGCCTTTCTGCCTGCCAAGAGTAATGGCAGACAGTATCTCGTGGTCCTGTGGATCAAAGCCCCCTCTCTACCAGCTGAAGACCCCCACAGCCGCAGAAGTCTTGTTTAGAAGTCCAAAGCCAGAGTGAGAACTATACTAGAAGTTGATCGACTATTTAAAATTCTTAATAACTGATCATTTTGTAGCACTCAAAGCTCATGTGTGTTATCCCAGTAACACAGAGGCGATGGACCAAGCAAGACGTGATGTCTCCTTCTCCCTCAACCAACCAGAGGGCGAGGAAACTGAGCAGCAGTTTGAGGGAGAGGTCTTCAGAGGCTTCAGTACTGAAGAATGTGAAGAAGAAGGTGAACACTTCTTAAAACGTACATGTCATCAGAATCAGAAATCTTTTTTTTGTCCTATATATATATTAAATTAGGCTGACATTAAATAGATAAAGCAAACGTAAGTACATAACCATGGTAAAATTAAAATGCAGCATAAGAAAAGTAATGGCTTTCTTGTTGAGGTTAACGAGACATTTCATTCCAGCTGCTCATTACGGGAGAGGTCCATCAAAGATTTATCTGAAAGACGAAACACCAGCCGAATCCTCACAGTACGTCTTCACACATGAACTATATTAAACATCTTTTATCATTGATATGTGATGTTTTTACTATTTTGTTATGTTTTTCCTTCACTATCAGAACTGTCCCTGACTCTCAGTGTATGGAAGTGGAGGACAGCGACTTCATACGTGTGAGTGTGCTTAGTTAGTGGCCCTTTATCGCCACCAGATGGTAGAGTTTGTAACTACAGTCTGTGGAACCTACACAAATTAAAATCATTTAAACCATAAAAATCTGCTGGACAATTAAAAAAATGTGAACTGATTCTGGAATCATCTGCTGTATCAAGCTTCTAACTATCAATGTCTCCTGATAGAGGGATATATGGGAACTGTGCACAGTGTAGGCAGATGCAGTTTACATGTTAATTCTGTTTCATTCACAGTTCTCCAACTGCACTGACATGAACTTTTGTAAGTTTCTTAAGCACCTCCAATTAAGCCTCCCATTTATTGTGTATATGCTAGAGAAAAGACAATACATTGAAAAGGTTTTTTTCTTTCTCACTCCTGCAGCATGTCTTGAACACAACAATGTCCTCATGAATGGCTGTGAATACTCGCCAAGTTACTCTTGTAGGAGAGGTTACCTCAGTTCAGACTCAGATGATGTAAGTGAAGTTACACTTGGTGAATTTTTTTACATCTTGCTGGTGTGCTGGGACTTCAAATTCACCTCAGAATAAATCTACTTTAAACATTTTAAAACATTAAGAGTTATATATTACATTAAGATGTGTTTGAACATGTTAAAATACATAACTGAGCTAAACGAATAAAAAACCTAATTAAATGGGCCCTATTATGCTTTTTAGGTTATTCTCCCTTCCTGTTGGCTCCTGGCTAGAGTTACACCAAATTGTACGTGATAGGCTAAGGGGTGGGACATAAAAGCTGTTGACCAATCACCAAAGAGGTGCTGCAGCACAGGCAGTATGAGAAAAATAAATCACTTTTTGAACATAAAAGCATGGAAACATGTCACAATAGAGGCACACAACACAATTATGAAACCCGAGAACAGCACAATAGGGCTCCTTTAAATATTTCAGTTCCAAAATGCAGTGAGAAGAAATAAAAAGCCACAGTAGTTTAGTCCGGACAGTAGTTTAGTCCTAATATTATTATTCAGTTTTGTTTTATTATTTGACAACTAACTTGTATTACTTTTGATTAAACAAAGAGTGGAAGAAGTGAACATCCCCACAGCTATATTTATAAGATCATCATTATTCAACACCATCAATTGCAATACTTGCATACAAAGGATCCCCCAGGCCACAAATGTCAGCTTTAGTTATCACTTTAATAACAAAACAAAATATTCTGTGCCCAATGCTATTGATGAATTGCTTTTCCCATGATGCACTGGATTAACCCAGGGATAATGTGACTGCTGTGTTTCCCTTTCTAATTGTGTCTTAGGAGGAAGAATGCTGTCAGCCATATCTCCAGGCTTCCTCTTCGTATATGGACCCGGCCTGTTGTGCAGAAAGCTTAAACCCAAACCCGGTCTCACAGGGGAATCCAGAACAAAGGCACATAAAGCCCCGCCCCCTCACCCCGCTCCTGAAACCCCAAAGCTTCAGAGATAAACAGACACTTATGGATAACACATTTCCCCCAGTTCTTTCCCCTCAAGCCCAGTGCTCCGAGATGTGCACATGCCAGAAAAAAGCCAATGAAACTCGAGACGCTGGAACTCAAACTGCTGCTGTGACATGTGACGCTGAGACTCAGTGCAGCGCTGTTGAAGACGGTGCAACCGCTGAGTTTAACTGGTGTGTGCCACCTGTTGATGTGTCAGTGCAGCATCCCCCCACAGGGAGGCAGACTGACGCTGCCGCAGAGAGGACACACACTGCTTCAACAGGCAAGGCTACAAGTGGAGAGAAGCTCACGCCCTGGGTGAAGAAGAAACCCAAGGCTGGTTCCCTCTCAGGCAGCAGCATTATAAACAATATTGATGGGAAAGTGATCCTACAGAAACATTTTCTAGATGCTCTCAGCGTGACAGATGGCAGAGGTACAATGTCAGAATTTAGACCTTTTGATTTATATACATTTCTTATTATTTACATTCCACTGAACAAGACAGAAATGAACGTTTTCTTCCTCTTGTTTCTGATTCAGGTAAGGGCGGGGATGAGGGAGAGCGACAGGAAAATGGCCGCCTGGTGAAGGACCTCTCTAATGAATCGAGGGAGGAGGTCACATCTGCCAGCAGGGCTAACAGACTCTCAGAAGAAGCAGAGACACTTCAGGAAATAGCGGACATACTGCTCCTGCTCAGACAGAGGAAAAAAGTGATGTAGATGCATGAAAGCAGAAAGAAAACATGCCTGTTCTGTGCATTTATTCAAGAGCGTTAACCGTTTATTTAAGCGTATTCAAAGTGTTTGTTCTAAGACACATTGTGAAATAAAGCCCCAAGGCGTTACTCTGATTCATCCGTTTATTTCCGTCCCCTTATACATATTCCAGTGTTTCATGAAGATACTCATCTTTTATAGAATATAAACTCTAGCAAAACATGTACAGCTTGAACAATAATCAAATATACTATACAGCACTTGTTTTTTTTTTAATTGGTATTTTTGTAGTTCCTCGTAAACTGTAGAAACACACATTGTTGGTTCACATAGCAAAAAATTGCAAAGATTTCACCAGAAGTACACATAAATCTCCCCTAGAGGAGAGGGGTAACAGCAGAAACAACCACGCTAAATATTTGTTTAACACAAGGTAAATTGTTTAATTACACAATATGTGTGTTGTGGAGCTTCGTGTGTGTGTGTGTTAATACTTTCAGTACAAAACTAGCTTGTGTGGTTTTAAGACGACTCATCCTGCACACAGAAAATCTAAATAAAACACTAATACTTTCACATTATTAAACGTTAGCCATTTTAATTCCTCTATACTGATTCATCGTTTTCCATCTGTTAATGTGACAATACTAAAAATAATTAACATTCAACTTTGATGATATTTGAAAAGTCTATTAAAAAGAGGTTTTATATTTTATTAATCTATGATGGGTTTGGACCGCCGTGTCAAAAATAATAGACTGTCCTTCACAGCGTACTTATTAACTTATTTCGTTTCACAAAGTCACTCTGTAGTCTACGTTTAAACTGCTGTTGCTACACAGAAACCTACGTGTATTTGACTAACAAGGTGTAACCTCACACCATTTTACACTTTTCTACTAAGCAACATTTGCAAGTTACGCTAAAGCTTTGACTTCTGGCACGAGAATAACGTACATTATGCGCTCTGCTATTTGTACATTAGGCTATGGAGGAAGACAAAAAAAAACATAAACATGAAATGATTACAAAACAAAACATTTCATCACAGGTGAAATGCTAATATGTACACGCCAAATAAATAAATAATTACAACAACTTGAAATATTACATCGACTTCAGGGGTTTGGACGTCCAGGGACCTCCACAATACACAGGCACTAATATTATCATGTTTGGCATAAATAAATAAAGATACACGTAAAGTCTCAAACATAAACTCTAACACTTCCTTTGCTGGACAATACATGTTTAATACTTAGGTTTATAACATGGAGACAGTCATATTTTGTTAAATATCATTTTAAAGTCAGGGTAGCAACAGGATTGCCGGCCTGAAACTTTAAAAATACTATGCTAAAGTAATACAAAATAATAAATATTAACTATAGCAACAGAATTTGTATTCATTTCAGTGCTACTAGATTGGTGAGTGGTTTTGTTTAGGCACCGACTGACAATATATACTGTACATCTCTGGTGTTGGCTTTTTTATAAAAAAATATTCAAAGCACAGACTATCATCAGGAGCTGACATAAGTGTGCTATGCTACAAGCTAACACAACATGTAACTGAGATGTGTTTCATATAGAAAGGCATAATGGTACTATAGATCTACAATAGGTCACAACTGCTGTCATGTCAACAAAAGACCACGTTTACTGGAACTCTTTAAATGGATTCTCAACGGAAACTGAAATAATGCTGTAGGACTGCTGTGTTGTATACTGTACGTACATTAATCATAAATGACATTTAGTGAACAAATGTACAAAATATTAGGAACATCGTACGATACTGAGCTGCAGCCTCTTTTCGGTGGACTTCATAAGAGAGGAAGTGTCCCTTTTATTTTGTAAATGGATGTTTCCTGTCCAAGTTATGTGCGGAAAAGGCAGTGTTTAAACTTTAGGTAATTCAGATATTTGTGGGTTTGACACCTGATTTTGTGTCAGTTCACCCTCATCTTTCTCATTGAAACTGTGATTCTTCACCTCATATTGACGGGTAACCAGTGGCTCCTCAGCTCGCACACACACAAACAGTCAAATATTACATTACAAGTTGCATGTTTTAGAAATAAGCAAAGCTAAAGAAACAGCCTAACTCTCGCTAGTCCACGTCAGACGCGTCGTTGTCCGATAGATGGTAGTTTGAACCTTTGACTCGGATGTACTCCACCTGTCGTGTCTCGTCTGAGTCCGAGGCGCCGCAGGAACAGAGCTGGTTTTCGAACAGCGCTTCGATCTCCTCCAGACGCCGGCCTTTGGTCTCCGGCAGGCAGCCGTAGATGAAGAAGAAACCCAGCAAAGCCATGCTGGAGTAGAGGAAGAACGCTCCTGGGAAGATAAAGACCAAATAACTCACCGTCAATCACAGACAAAAGGAACACACTGTTCAGCTTCCTGGAGACGTGTTTTCATTCAGACACAGAAGAAGAAACACTGGAGGTGACAGTGTGGGGCAGCTACCATTTGAAGGCTCACAATTCATATGGAGATGTGTGAGCTCATAAATGAAAGTGTTTAAATATGCTGCTGTTTCCTTAACGATTTTCCATACATGTCAATATGGAAGTATTCATAGCGACACAGTGACAGAGGTTAATGAGATTTCCTGAACGCTGTTATCTCTTTTTCCCCTTGTCAAAGCAGAAATACATTTTGAATAGTGCTTTATGCTAAATACCGTTTAAATGGATGAGGCATTATGTTCCTCAGCTTTGACACTGTTCACAAGTGCCCACAATTATTTGTTCACAAATCAAATCGACCGTTAACCCGCTGCATCTCAGGATGCCTCTACAATCACCCCTGATGGATCGATCTCCTGCTCCACCAAAGGTCAGTTCCTTCCCATCGGAGGGGGCCACATGCTGTTGTTGAGCCACATTGACTGAGGAGGTATGCTCGAAGAAAAAGGTTGGGAACACATCGGGGAATCAATCAGCGGGGTCACCGACATGCTGCTTTTGACGTGAGGGGAGGATGTATGGTATGGGTGTTACACAAGATCTGCTGAGAGGCTTGCATAAGGATTGATAGAATTGGATGAGGTTTGAAGGTGTTCATGGCTGGACTGTTAAGTATGATTGAAATTACATGAGCTCAGTCTAAATGTAAATGGTTTGTTCACAATTCTGCAGGTGAGCAACTGACCATAGTATGTGAAGTACTGAGCCAGGTGGAGGAAGGTGAGAGACACCAGGATGTTGAAGGTCCAGTTGACCCCGGCTGCGCAGGCGTTCCCCGTGCTCCTCGCCCACAGAGGGTAGATCTCTGAGTTGATGGTCCATGGCATCGGGCCCATCCCTAAAAGAGAGACACGTTTACAGGGTTAGGTTAAGGCTCTATGGAAAGTTTAGTAGCTACAATTGGGCTATTGAGTGGTGCAGTCCTCAACCTGGAAATGAGTAAGCATTTTAGCACTTCGGAGATCCCTTATCAGTCAACATTTTTTAATTGAGTTTCTGGTTAGTTTGCCAAAATAAGGTCAATAAGCTTATACAAGGTTTTCACAACATAAAATATATCAGTTTAAACCGCACTGATGGACGTCTGAGCTTGGTGGTTGATAACAAGTGGTGGCGAAGTCGATAGGGACTTGTCTTGGCAACTGGAAGGTCACCAGTTCGAGTCCCGGCAAGACCAAGTGCTACCGAGGTGTCCCTGAGCAAGGCACCGTTCCCTACACTGCTCCCCGGGCGCCGGACATAATGGCAGCCCACTGCTCCTAACACTAGGATGGGTCAAATGCAGAGGAACAATTTCGTTACATAGTACCTGTACTGTGAAATGACAAAAAGAGCAATTTATTTATTATTATTATAAGTGGCTAAATAAGAGTACTAAACATCATCACGGTGAAAATAGGCCGCCTTTAGCTTAGCGCTGCAACCGTCATGTATTTTGAATGCTAAGTTCCGGGTTGGCCTGCAAAATTATGTAATCATTGTACAATTTCATTGGACACCCTCAATGTACGTCCTCTAAAAGTGCTTGTTTTTTGGCACTGGGTACCCCACTGAGATATAAAACGCTTTTGCTTGGTGAAGTCTGTTTTTTATTGGGTCATGTGACTTGTTACAAAGAGGATAAAGGAAAATGTAAAGAGGCCTTTCCATAAAGATATCTGACAAAGAATGCAACTAAACATAGCAGTCGGACCACATACAGTATAGTGAACCTCAATCACAGGTTCGATGTATTACCTGGTGCGAAAGCAGCCAGGTAGCACATCAGACCCAGCAACACCAGCCAGGAGTAGGAGGTGGGGCAGTAGTTGTAGGCCCAGTAGGTCTGATCTCTCATCAGGCTGGAGTTGGAGCATCTGGAAGAGGAAGAAACAGTTAGTATTTCACATTCAACCAAAACATTAAATATATAAATAATACACACGTTCTTCACACACGCACACACTCCATTCTCGGCATCCTGTGACTCACCTGCCCCATGCTGCGTGCTCCGTGGAGGCCTTATTGACTGGCACACAGGAGGAGGTGAGGAGCGCTGAGACGTTCTCACGGTAACAGAACCCACACCCAGGGTCCAGCATGCATGGCTCACACAGCCTGCAAACCAAACACGCCAACTTGAATTACCCTGAACACGGTCAATCAATGAATCCGTTCGCATACATATTTTCCAAGTATTGAGTTGCAGTCCTAAACTAAACTAAAAACCACTTATTGGCCTGTTCTACTTCACAAAGTGGGGTTATAGGAAAGGTCTTCAACCGCTTGAATTGAGACTTGAATTGAGACTTGCCTCATTACACAAATGAAGTTAAAAAAGGACTGCAGGAAGTGATGAATCTTCATTAAAAGCTAAATACTGTTGGATTCACTATCCTTACATCTTTACCCTGTCTTATCCCTCTGCTAGTCTATTTAAAGCAATCCACATGTAAGAAGCAAACACCTTCTTCACAAGGGACACTATGTTTTTATAACAGTTTGTTGTTGTGATGCTAATGGGAGAGCACGAAATGTGTGTTTTGTTTCACAGGTCTATTTTTACAGGCTGCAGCCTCCCTGTGTGCAGGGCAACTTGCTCTTATTTCACACTGAGGTCAACCAAACGAAAATCATACCATGTATTAGTACCAGAGGCAAGCAGAAGTGAATAGAGAGGGAAGGTGAGGAGAGACACGCAGCAACTCAGCCTAGATTTAAAGGATGCAATTAGAACATGTGTATAATATTGGTCTTTTATAAATGAATAAAGCTATATAGTTTTCCCTTTGGCTAACATATAATGTGTGCAAAGGGATGGATTAAGCACTGTTTATCTGCACAGATATAAGCTGCCCTGTACAAAATGATACCAAAGCAGCTTTAAATTAGATTTGGAAAGATTTAGCTCCACAATATAAAACAAGAACAATGCTTCTTCATTTTTATGTCTTCTACGTCTACATGTATTACCTCGTGATGACCTATAGCTGGATTTAGCCTTTATCTTCAAGCAAAATATACGTATGTAGTTATCAATTTTCAAGGACCTATTTACTGAATGTGCTATGCAAAACTAAAAATGAAATAGATAGAAATAGCTAAAGCAACGAAGATAGCATTGAGAATGTAGACTTATTTATTTAAAAGGAAAAACATCTAAATGCCTGTGTCATTCCAGGGTAGTAAGCTATAGTCAAATCCTACCCGAAACACCTTTTGAATACATCCTTAAATGAGGTGTCTGATCCGCTGGTGAGTGTCTCTGGTGGTCCTAGATTCAGCCGTGGTGAGCGAGGGCACGTGTGGGCTCATGTGGAGTAAAGTGAACTCAATGAAGCCACTACAGTGTGGTAAAAGCACTCATCTCTTCAAATTACCTCCGTGTGTGTGTGTGTTACAGCGTGTGGGTGCCGGACAGCGAGTCCATTAGGCGTTGTTTGTTGTTGTGATGAAAGACCGTCGTTACACATGAGTTTCATCTTGTGCCCGAGTAAGTGAGAGTAAATTGGGACACGGAGGCATCTGATCTCTGGCGTACACGAAAACACTCTCTGTGCTTTGTGTGTTTGCCTTTTGTTGCTAATGACAACAATGAAGTGTATTGTAGCTGATCCAAGCATCGGGAGATGACTTTATAGAGTTT